TAACCGCTTGTCTCTACCCATCAATCAACTACTTGTCCACCCCTTCCCTCAATCACTGCAACACTATCTTCGACTCCAATACCACTCAACCACTTGTCAACACTTCCCAAGACATCACTTCCAAAGCTATTCCTCCCATTCGTGACCTCAAACCAGACTTTGTCTCCAAACAACTCTTCCTCACAAACAACTCGTAATTCAAAGACAATTACAGACAATCACTTGAGAGGAATACTTCGCAAACATATCAATAGAATAAATCGTTCAGAAAATCACTTCAAAACTTGATATCAAATGACTGTTAACCGAATTAACCGCTAATTTGTAAACATTTTTCTATAAAGACTACATTTGAATGCTATTTGAATTAAATGAATGAACCAAATAAATGTAATTTTTATAACATTTAAATGATATGATTGTAATTTTGGTTAAAAAATAAAATTAGTGCTAAATATTGTTGTCTTGTGTATGAAGTACTGGCACTACTTTATGTGCATATGATGTGATATCATTTGTAATATGGTAAACATGCCATAGACATTGTACCATGGTATGGTACGGTACTGTATACTGTGTATGCATTCGAGGATATATGTGATACAAGTTGAGAATTGTGTCTTAAATACAGTCCACAGGATTAGCTAATCTATGCAATGCATTGTAAAGAGTCGTGTTTTCTCATTAATGATCAAATAATACGGCAATTCATAGATCATAGTTAATTTCATAGTTAGTTGATGTTAACATTTAAGTTAATACAGTATTAATATTGTTTAGTTCATAGACAATGTTAAGTGTATAGAAATTGATATTTCATCGGGACTAAAAGGTTTTACTGAATATGTAATTAACACATCGTTTTGTTTGTCATACAATATTATTAGCGGTAAATCTGACTCTTTTCATCACTTTATTTGCAATACTTATTCACAAGTATTTTCTTTAAACTAAATTTACGATAAAATATACGATGAGTTTCGTCTGAATATTAGATTAAGAAATGTTTTTTGTTTCTGCAGAAGAAATATCTATTTTGAACACAAATTAATTAAAATAAATCACAAATTAATGATTTTATTATTTATATTATATTTAGATAGTTGTCATATAAACACACAGTTTTATAAAATCTTAAAAATGATTAAAATATATGAAAAATATATTTCTATGTTCGTGAAAGTGAAAAAGCAAACAAACATGGTCATATGTTATTGAGCATAGAGATGAAAGGGCACACTAAAAATATTATACGTATATCATTGATATTCTAGATATCAAATATTTAGGACACTTAATAAATTGAATTTAATGACCGCTTATATTGTTTTGTAAATTCATATACAGTATTAAGAAATGAATTTTTCTGATCAACACTTTTAAAGAGATAACAACTGTTAGCAACTGAAGAGATTCATTGCTTTTTGATTATAAAGCTTTACATAAGATTTCTAATACTGTATAATCAATTGGTATTAAAAATATAGTTTAATAATTGAAATTTTTATTGATTAAATGATTTGCTTACACTGTAAGCCTTACAGTAAAGTTAATGTAAAATAATACAAATTATCATAGATGAAATAATCATAAATAGTTAGAATCAAACGATTATAATATAAATAATAAATGTAATGACAATTCGTATAATTCATTACAAATGATAACCAAGATTATAAATGAGAAAACCCAAAGAATATGATTCTTTACATTCATTACATATTATAAGTAAATGACAAACAAAAGCAAAATGCTATAAATGATTAAATACTTACCAGTGATGGATATTTGGCATGCGGTCCGCACTATTAGCTAAACTGGGTCTACAGTGTTGTCCGAAATCGGACTGCAATGTCGACCAAACCCTATCCGATGTGTTGGTTAGAGGGGGTCTGCAGTGTTGTGCGGAGTCTGTCTGAATGGTAGGCCAACCTCTGTCTGAACTACTGGCCAGAGTTGCGCGACAGTGTTGTCCCGAATCGATCTGCAGTGACGGCCAAACCCTATCGGCCGTATTAACAAGACTAGAGCGGCAGTGTTGGGCCGACTCTATTTGCAGTGCGGGCCAAACCCGGTCCGCAGGATTAGCTAAACTTGATCTGCAATGTTGTGCCGAATCGATTTGAAGCCCAGACCAAACCCGGTCCGCGGCGTTTGGTAGGCCTGGCCTACAGTGTTGTCCCGAATCGATTTGCAATGACGACCAAACTCTGTCCGAAGTATTAGTCAGATTTGATCGGCAGTGTTGATCACTTTCGGCCTGCAGTTGTGGCCAAACTCTATCGGCAGTCAAACCGGGTCTGCAGTGTTGTGTCGATTCAGTTTGCATTTGAGGCCAAACTCTGTCTGCATTAGAGTTCAAAGCACTCCTACAGTGTTGGCCGGATTCAGGCGGAAGTCCGGACCAAACTCTGTCTGATGTATTGACCAGAGCTGATCTGCAATGACCAACGCTGTCAGTCGGGTGTGGAGGCCATACCTTATCGGGAGTCGTGGCGGGACTTTCTCTGCAGTGTTGGTTCGTATCGTTTGATGCATTGGTTTCTGTAGTCCTACCACTCATTGAATGATTGCTTTCGACGCTCTGTTGGTTTGAGTAATTGGTTGTTGTCGTGGAAGTAGACGTCGAAGAACTGGTGGCCAGCATTGGTTTCAGTGGTTTCCTTCTTCGGGGTTGATATTTATATTCAGGAAAGTCTTTCTTATGCTTACAGCGAAGTCTTTCCGCTTCAATCATGAAAGGCTTCTTCTCTTCGTCGCCCAATACTCTACTAAAACATAACATTTTTATTAACTTTACAAATCATTTGGTAATTAATGGCAATAAATAGCAAAAATAATGTCAATTCTATACCTCCAGAGTCGGCCCAGAGTTTTGCTGAGTTCAGCGTTATGTATGTGCGGGTGTTGTTCAGCCAGTTTGCGTCGGGCCGCCTGAGCCCACACCATGAATGCATTCATAGGCCGTTTGACATGAGTTTTCTGTTTAGTGCTTGTGGTTTGTCTATTAGTTCGCGCCACTAGTGACCAGTCGTAGCTCTGAAGCACTTTGGAGACGGTGTCCTGAATGGCGGGATTAGATTCAAACACTTCGGTCGGCATCAATGGTGAGGTCTTATTGAGGGAACCGCTGGCGACCGTCAACTGTATAGATATAGTGTTGCGAGTGGTGTGAGCCGTCTGTGAAGAGCCGCTGCTTTCATTGTTTGTGACGGAACTGTTAGACAGAATAGAGGGACCAAAGTCTGTGTTACGGCTTTCACTCGAAGTATTCATTTTGAAGTTTTGTTTTACAAAATTATGGTTTTATATGAAAACTTAGTTTGTAATCAACTTTTCATTTCAAATTCACTGATTGTTTATCACTTATAGAAGGAATACATACTTAAATAAAAAGTAATAACAAATATTTATAAGTTTCTTGCAGTGCTTTAAATCAAAAGCAATGATATTATGTGTGGAGTGAGAGGTAGGGAAAGACGAGATCGAGAATCAGCGCTCAAGTCATAGAAGAAGTACAGCCTCTGATAGAGTGGAAACACCAACCAATGTGGCACTCGTTCTCCAACTGGCACTCACTCTGCAATGTCTTTGGCACTGTTTGGGCACTGTTTAGGCACTTCTCTCTCTTTCTTATGTATCGTCACTTTCAGGACTTTCATATAGTCCTTAAAGAATCCAAAAACTGCTAACACTTTATGTCATTTTCTATGTTTTTGCTAATTTGGTTCAATTTTGATTACTTCATGATTTCTTCGCAATTTCTTAAATAACATTTCGTTTATTATTAGTATTGAAACCGCTTTTTCCCAAAAGAATTAATTCGTTGAAACCAATGCATTGCTTTGACTTTTGTTTGTTATTATATAAGTTTTATTGGTGTAAACATTCTCGAAAAGGTATTACCAAATTATTACCGAAAAGCATTTAGTAGTAAACCTAACAGTAATTAATTTTACGTATAGTTAAACATTTATTAAACATTACTGTTTAATATCAAAAGGCATTAGTTTTATATTTCATATAAAATCCATTGTTTAGTGTTATGTAAAGGCATTGAAATAGTTATCAAGAATTGAGTGACAAATTGATGATTGGATTGAAAGCTGTGTAAGATTTGTTAAGCGTTGGGTCAGTTGTATTGATTGGTGTAGTAGTTATGAATGCGAGCAATGTTTGTATTATACGATTAATTAAGAGTCAATTGATGGCATAAGTCATCAAAGAAGTACTTTATATTCGGTTAACAACATTATTATTGAATTAGAAAATAAAAGTCTTCATTCAGACATCTATTAGCTGTAAGAGACTGTTTGTATTGACAGTACTGTCAACCATAGTATGCTATAAAATACACATCTTTTTAGCGACAATACAACCATTTGTATAGATTGTAAGCTAGTATTGAAAGGATGTCTTCTTTGCAATTAAGTCACAATTTAAGTGAGAGTAAGTCCTAATATGTTATACATGTGAATATGTGTTTCATTTGCATCAACGATGGATGCGATTGCAGATAGATATGAAACTATTTGGCTTAAGTTACCGCAAATTTATAGCATTTTCATTGCTTAGATGTGTCTCCGATAATCACAACATTAACAGTGCTTTCCCTATATCTCTAATTATCATCTCTTCTATCGAATGGTTTAATAATTAATAGTTTTAAGTATTTATGAATACAACTAAAAAGTGTTATAAAAATTAATTTATTGATGTCTGCGAACCGATTGATTGCAACGCTTCCTCGGAAGACCATGTGTTCAACAAATTGTGTCTTAAGTTCAATAAACAATGGTTTGTGTTGTGTCGGACTGTTTTCGCGTTTGGCCTGACATTGTGTTTGAGTTCATTGCAAGCAATGTATAAAGTTTTGTCATAAACTGAACATTGAGTTTAAGGGATGCTCTGTTTGGGAGAGCACTGAATGAATTGAATGAATGCATGGTAAGCGAGATGTGCTGCTCAGGCACCTCATGCTTGTGCCAAATAAGTGACTTCTTGTGGTGGTAGTGATGGGGCGGATGCGATGATATCGTGAAACTAAATCTCAGTCTAAGTCTGTTTCTTGAAAAATTTTTCCGCGCTCTTCACTCCTCAGTCTTCAGTAGCGATGAATGAATACGAAAAATACAGAAACTCTATATATAATGGTTTACATGCTTTTCCTCTGCAACTAATGATTGTATAGATTCTAAAAATTTTAAATCCTATAAAAATGAAATCTATTTTAGTTCCTCTTAATGATTATAACTGTAGAAATGAGCGTTTCATTCGGAGTCATATGGTTTGATCATTTTAAACAACATTTGACTTAGTTTTCAGTGAGAAAAATGTATGCGACTGTCAATGGATAGGAATGGAGACAAACTTGTAATTCACTACCTTTTGTATGATATGTGAAAACACGAATCACAGACAGATTAAGTGCAAAGCATTTTGCATCACATCTAACACTACCTATGAATTTAAATATAACAAAGAGTCGTTCAATCTTTCATTCAATCTCTCTCTCTCTCTCTCAAAAGAAATGATATTATGTGTGGAGTGAGAGGTAGGGAAAGACGAGATCGAGAATCAGCGCTCAAGTCATAGAAGAAGTACAGCCTCTGATAGAGTGGAAACACCAACCAATGAGTCAACTGATTTGATAAATCACTTCATGTCTATGCCTTTGCCATTGCGTTTCATTTCATGTCAAACATCCCTCTCTCTCTCTCTTTCTTTCTTTCTTTCTCTATTGCTGTGAAATACTTTATACTTTAAGAATTCCTCTGCATATCATTAGATCGGGTTCGTTGAGCACTAGTTTATTATATCATACTATGGTATAACACATATAACTTAAAACACCTATGTTTCTACTGATTTTAACTAATTAATTTTCAACTTAGACCAATGAATACCCGACATTTATATAAATGGTAACATCAATTGCAAATCATTACCAAAACTATTTTTATATAAAATCTAAATTACAACCAAAGCGTGAGAGAGCGGGATGTTTGACATGAAATGAAACGCAATGGCAAAGGCATAGACATGAAGTGATTTATCAAATTAGTTGACGAGAAGTTTGAATCATTGAAAATAATGAAGGTTTAAAAAATACAAGAAAACATATGCAATGAATATGAAGTGACATTTAGCTATTCCTTTGACAAGTGATTTAAACTACAGTTATTCTGATTATTTGCTGCAAAATTATAAAAGTATTCTTTGTGTTAAATATTTGGTTCATTTTTAAAATGCATAACAAGTGAATAATTTTCATGCGAATGAGTGTTACTTTTGACAACATATTCACAACTATTTAGATCTTTGCTGTTCGACCACAAAGTGAACAGATATTACGGTTAAGACATCCACTAAAAGCAAAGGCTTCCGAAAGTGATGTGCAAAAAGAGAGGAATAAATGTTGCATTGATTCACGAAATCTATTTTAGACTCCTTGTAGTCATTATACACTATGTTTTTGCTGAACCCTTACTAATGAATACCTCAAACAGTATGTCCTTTATATGAGACTATCATTCATTTTTTGCAATGTATTTCCATTCCCGACACTTAATATAGAACTCATAAATTAATGTCACATCCATTCAGAACCTATACTATCATATATTCTACTCTATTCTACACTCTATACTCGCATACAATACACTTCACACTACTATTTACTGTCGTCTCAATTATTTCAATTGATTCGTAAAGACAGCGATTTAGAGATTTTAATTCACAAAAAGGTTGTATGGCTTGTAATTTGAAACAATTATATATATGTATAGCACTTATGCCATAATACAGTATAAACTGAGTTTATGACACACTTATAATGCGATTGCAAACAAACGGCAGCTAAAAAAGCGAACAAAACAAGGCTTTGATGTTTGGCTAAAACTATCATTTCTTTGTATACAGAATAACAACATTCGCATTGATATCACAGCCTAACAGTCCTTTAGGCTATCACTCGGCAAATGCTTACGAATTTGAATACTTATAACTCAGTTATAGTGAAAGCGTTAAATTGAAAATAATAATTGTTTTTGTATGAGACCTTTCATCAAACTTTTTTGCTATTGAAATATGACACGTAATACCAGTAACTATTATATCATGATTACAAACCAGAGAGTATTTTAATTCGTTGGGTGGCATTGCCTATAAGAACCAGTTCTTCCTATTATTCTCACTCTATTCATGCCTTCAAATCACGAAATTATTCAAAAATCCAATAGGAATTGAATATATTTTACAAATCTTTCACTTATATAATGCATAAAATTGAAGAATTCAAGCATTACTTCATTATATGGTCGGAGCAAACATTTTATGCTGTGTTTAGTTTCAATGAGCGCCACATTATATCCGCATTCATATAAAGAGAACATTTGGAGAACTCTGAGCCAGACTTGAGATAATATACAGTATATTACTTGAAACAGATTCTGTAGTGATAAACCCAATTACATATTGTATATTTCATACCCTAAATGTTGCATTTATTATAAATATTATACATAAATTGAATGCAGTATTAATTTTTATTATTAAAAACCTATAAGAATTTAATTGATTTTTAAAGCCATCTTTAAATGAAATACAGTTAGAATATTAGAATATCTCATAAAATATAAGCATTTAATAGTTTACTTTCCATTAATTACTTTGCTTTAAGATAAAGATTGATTGAAAACACACAAACTGTGGGAATGTTTGTCACAAACAAAATCAAATGCTTACTAATTATGAAACTATGCCGTCATAACAAACACCCATTTATTTGATAACTTATTTTTTATTAAAAATAATTTTCTAAGTATTTTAACACATTTTTATTGCAGTTAAAGATGACATATTTGTGTAAATTTATAGTTTTACTTATATGTTGATAGAAATCATTTTAATTAATTTAGTTAAACTAACTAATATAGTTAAATAATTGATTATAAACCTTTAATTATGTAAAAAAAATTAAACATACATTTTAAAATGTAAATTAAATACAATAGTTGTATACAAATTTATACGAATCCTTTACTAATTATTTTACATGTGCTCATTATATCAATTAGAATCTGAAATAATATCAATATATCTAAAAATATTTAAGACATAACGATAATTTGATGGCTACGTTATGGTGTAGTATATTAGCAACCATGAAATATCAATAAAAGTAAATTTTATTATATTTTAAAATACGTTTCTTTGCAAATCAAACATTATAAATGTGCTCATTAAGAATGCATTATTGCTAAATCATTTGCAAAACTGGATGCAAAGCCGGTGTACTGATAGCTTCCTCTTTAATGTTTCATCTAGTTTTTAATTGTAATATTAGTAATTTTATTAATGGCAAAATTCTAAGGCTTCGAAACCGATTCTTTAGAATTCTTGACATTAAAAAACAAAATATATAATAAATGTTTATAAAATAGAGTGAATTAAGACTTAATGATTTGAGTGGAAAGCAATGAGCAATAGTGTGGACGTCAAGCATATGTGGCATCAATGCAATCAAAGAGCAAATCTGTGTTATGAGCTGTAATACGATTAGTGCGAAGGCGTAAGAGAGTCGGCATTTCTTGCATTACAAGTCGCCCGAAGAGTCGGTTTCTTTGGCTGACGGCTGACCCATACATATATCAAAGACATTAACACCGACGGAAGGTCTTTGCATAAAAAACTTTTCAAATTTCTGTTACTTTAATTGTTGGAACAGTTTTTGTCCGAAAAATTGTTTTAGAAATGATTACAAGAAATAAATTTTTGTCTGTATTTTTGCGAACACATGAAAGATTGCCAAACAAAATATGATTCTGGGATGAGAGGGGAGGGACTGTTTTGGACGGCTTTGTGTGAGTCAATAATCTTAAATAAATGATATGGGGTTTGATTTTGCAAATATACAGTGTTTGACACAAAAAATATGAGAGATAGACGACCGACTGTCAAAATGGTTTCGTATTTTTTTATATGAGAAATGTCTGAACGCATTGAGTATATGAGTGAACGACAAATATTACAATTTCTTATATATATTTTTTGTGTATAACTTCTCTGTTATGATAACATATCAAATAACTTCTAGAACTCAACAAAACTATAGATATATTTATATTCATGGGAACGACTGGTGTGAGGAAGCGCTGGCAATACAAGTGGTATGTGTTAGTGAATTGGCAATCGCTAACCACATCACCGCATCTCTGCTTAAATTATAACTCATAGAAAGTGGAAAATTATATGTTTAGGGAATTGTATATTTGGACAATTGATTCAGACTTTTTGTGTTACAATTGAAGCTCTAATCATAAATATGCGGTGATTTGATCTGAAAGGTGTAGATCCCAGAGCCTTAAGGCACAGAGCGTGTCCTTTTGATTATAGTATTTGTCGAGTCCTATGAGGTTATGCTCGTTGTTATTTGATGTGATAAAAGCTAAGTAAAAGCTATACGTGTTTCACGCTTTACATCCCTTAGTGTTGATGTTTTCACAGCTAAACAGCGCTTTTTTCTCACAACAATTCCCGCATCAAAATTAGGGATAAAATATTGTATTATAAATATTATAAGGTATTCATTTTGGTATTGCATTCTTCACACCTACACTATATCACTATCTATGCATTCAATCAAATCTACGGTTCGGCAATATTTCTCTCCTTTTTCTCTCCATATTTTGATCTCAAATCGCAAGACTATATATATTTCTTTCTGCAATACTTATATATATATTGAGGCAAATATTTTGAATATCTATTGATGTGATCTTTCCTTAGATTTGCCGAAACAGACGCATCGCAGCGGAAATTATAAGACTTTTACGATTTCTAATTATATACAAATGATAATCACTTCTATGGATAACATTCTCGAGTTTAGTGCAAACTTTTAGACCGATTTTGGGAGAAAATGTTTCAATTTTATAATTTATATTAAATTAATCAAAATTTGTTTACTATTTTAGTCACTAAAAGTATGACAAACTTTTTTTCATTACAAATTGCAATGACTTTCATATATAGGTTTGGCTTCGAATGGAAACCCAATGAAAAGATGCGAAAGCATTGGAAAGCACTCTAAGCTCCGGATGAGGGGAGAGACCAAACATTTTGCTTAAGGAAATACTTTGCGCACTCTTTGTGGCAAATGTTGTGTTAAACTGTATTTTGAATGTGTATTGAGTTCTGATTAGTTGTATCATTAAAATTGGTCCAAAAAATATGTCATCTGAAGAGGGAAGAGGTCCACAAAACATACAAAACAATGACATTCCCAAAGAGAGCGACAAATCGCTGAACTCTAAGCTATCAATTTGTGATGCAGTGTCACGAGTGCTTAAAGGATATGATTGGACATTAGTGACCACCACCACTAAACCAAACTCATCCAGCAAACAAAAACTTCATGTCAAACGTCCTATGAATGCATTCATGGTGTGGGCTCAGGCGGCCCGACGCAAACTGGCCGATCAACACCCGCACCTTCACAACGCAGAACTCAGCAAAACTTTAGGCAAACTATGGAGGTATTCATCAATATGTCTATCATTGTTATCTAATATTAATACTAATAATCATTATTGCATTTACAATATTACTAATAACTTATTTGATTATAATCTCGATCTGCAATCTCTATATTCTGTCATTTAGTTCATCCAAATCTATGTCTTATAAATATTTATTTTTTTTAAAGAATTTGGTGTTAATTAAATGTCTCAATCAATAATCAATTTGCGAATCAATATCTATTCAAAACATTTTAGTGAAAACTAATTTGTAGTAAAAATATTTACAAATAATATTAGTCCACAGAGTCGGCTCTTTTGATGTACTGACTCTTAGGTTAAGTTATTTTGGGAGAGAGAGAGAGAGAGGTGACATTTGATACGACGGTCCACTCGTTCACTTTAGAGTATTTTGCATCAAAACAAGAGTCTCTCCTAATATGCATGAAATGAGTTTTTTTCCGAGACATCTTTCCGAAATATTTCGCGACATCCTTTAACCTCGTGTTTAGTGAACAAAACAATTCTTATAAAGCATTATATGATTGATAAATGACGACTCCTTCATCTACACTGACCAGAACTTAGATAATCTGATAGTTTTATAAGTTTTATTATAGTTAATTTTGCACGAATCTCGACAAACATGCGGTTCTACTGGTATTCACAAACATTAGTTTGAAAATGTGTTGAGTAATTGCCTGACAGAGACGTGTTCTCATAAAGGCTGGCATTAGTTTTATCGATGGGTTTTGAACGAAGCTTTTATCTTAAGTTGATCGTAGTCATTGACCATGTTAACTTGACAAAATGGTTTGTGTTGGTCAAAGTAATTGCATTAATATTGTTATTATTTAATACAATTCTAATATCTATTCAGTTTCATAATATTTATGTTATGAAACAGCGTTTATAGTTGTCTTATATTTTGGTGATAATTATTAGTCAAATAAAAGTATTTATATAAATAAATAATCGATAAAATTTTGATTAATTTTAATTTTTAATTCAAATATTACTTAATTGTTTATTAATTTAAATATTTATATTCTTAAAAAATATTCTTTAGGAAATATTTAAAATACTCTAACAAAGTAAGTAAAAGTCATAATAAATTTGCAAATATTAATTGCAATAATTATCATTTTTTTTATAAACAAATTAACTCTAAATATTTAGTCCATATTTTCAGTGAAAATCTGTGACATAAATGCAATTAAAATAAATTGTTTTTAAAAGATTACTCAAATCGACATTAATTACAAAGATTGTGAATTCAGTGAGCAATAGATTGTAATAAATCCTTGATTACCGAAACAACATCCAAGAGTTTTCTGTTTAAAAAATTAGATAATAATTATTTTTATACAATAATAACTTAAATAAAACTTGATTTTGTTTATAAGTGAATTTTTAGTGTGAATTTTTAGGCCAACACTTGTGAATATCTCTTTAAAAATATAATCAAAACTAATTTTGTGATAAAATTTGTATTTTGAATTTTCTCACATTCTCTGCTTTCAAAAGTGTTTGATAACTGACTCTTAATCTACGAAATGATTGTTTTGGTGCCAAACATTTAATTAAACAAAATCTCATTTCTTGCGCTCATATCGCATACTACGTGACTCTCAGTATTATATTTGTGTTTAATTTACGCAAATAATTATCAAATTCTTTACTTTCAGTTAATATCTAGCGATACAACAATTACTAAAGTAAATCAAGTTTAAAGTTTGCTTTTTTGATTTTAAATAGAGATCACAAACTATTATATGATTGCAATATTTAGGCAATATTTAGTTTAACTTTCTATTAAATATACATTTTAATGCAAAAATTGTATGTAAAATTTGATTATTTATTTTAAAAGTACAATATTATTATTATTTAAGAAAGAATGTAAAATTTTGATGTGTCGGTTCATTTGCAGAATTTATTCCCATTTAACAAGACAGAATATTATTTGCAAATAATTATTATATCTATAATTTAACCTATAAATGGTTTCTAGATTGGTTCATTGCACATCTTATAATAATAATTTAGCAATTACAGTACTTTACATTAATGTACTCACAAGATATGAATTTAAAACTGAATATATAAGATGTGCAATAATTGGGAAAATAGATATCATCCAAAGTATTCAACATTAACTGTAATATAATTATACATTATTAATCTGCTTTTTATGGGACATTGCATTCATAAGCTTTAAATTGTGATCAAATTGTAGTATTTTAATAGAATTATTGTAAAGTTTAAGTTAATAATTAGCAAGTATTTAATCATATTACACAATAATGTATTTATTTTTACAGGGTATTAACTAATTACAGGGTATTAACTAATTACAGGGGGTTAAGTAATCAAAAACTATAATATTTAGATATGCAAAATATCCTTATTCTTTTGTAATTATAAATTTTATAAACTAAAAATAAGTACTTAAAATTTGCTAGAACATTCATTTTTAAAATATCAAACTCATGTAACACTTGAAAGATTTATCAGTGATTTTTTTTATCATCAATAAAAAGATAATTTAGAAATTAAAATTAAAAACAAAGTCATTAAAAATAAATTATATTAAAATATTGATTATACTTTATAGAAACTTAATTTTACGTACAATAAATTTATACAAAATTTGGTTTAGAATTTGAATTTGTAATAAACTGAATAAAATCCAAAAATACAAAATAAATATAATTAGATATTATAAGTTATTGTTCATGTTTCTATCGTTTGATTCAACAAATAACCAACTGTCATTTTTGAGCAATAATTAAATAATTAAAAAAATACAGAATATAAATTATAGTTAAATGTAACCGAACATTGTGTTCTTATTTATAATTAATAGTAAATTTTTATTAAGAATATTATTTTTAAATTATAATAATTTAGGTGATAGTTAAATTATAAATATGAGGACATGTTTTAAACACAAATTGATTATATTTATAGAGTATTGGGAGACGAAGAGAAGAAGCCGTTCGTTGAAGAGGCGGAGAGATTGAGAATCATTCATAAGAGTCAACATCCAGACTATAAGTAATACAATTTACAATTGATTTTTAATATATTCTTATAGAAATAAATTCATAATCATATCAGATATCAGCCGCGAAGACGAAAAAGTAATAAATGCAGTAATAGTTGTGACGAGACATCTAAAGGAAAGACAAAAGCAGTTAAACAAACTTCCGCTTCTCCCGCATCAAAGTATGCATTTGTTTGTTATTATAATTATTTAATTCCAATTAAATAATCTAACTTATACATAATTATAATTATTACAATAATTTCTTATATTTTATTTGTAGTAAACCAACAAAGAAAGAAAGCACAAAAAATGGGTTGAATGCTGTAAAACGGAAACCAAATCAGACCTCTGTTAGCAATGGGAACGGCACTAACGGAGCCCTAACGCTAACCCCTCCTCACACACCCTCTAATGAAATAAACCCTTTACAGCGTAAGAGAGAAAGCACTGGAGAGACAAAACTAGGTAATTTTCAAGTCAATTAATTAATCATTTGTAATACCGTTAAGAATATAATAATATATTTAATCACACGATGTGTTAATTTGAATACTAAATAGTTGCCAATTCCGGGCACCAACACAATGGCACGTCAGGTACGGGTGGTCCGCATGCCATTGACTTCAGTCACGTTGATGTGGGAAATCTGACCACAGAAGTGATGACAAACATCGATGAGACAGAACTGGACCAATACCTGCCACTCGTGAACGTGTCTTCGGCGGCTCAATACGCGACTGCAATGGAGTCGGTGTCCAACAATTCACCCGTCAATGCGATGTACGCCTGGTCTACAAAGTTTCTGTCCCATCAAAACAGTACAAAAACTAATGCCAAACAAACCGATTCCCCAAATGATAATAGTTATGAAAATCATCAAAGTTTGTATAACAGGAATGGAGAGCACCAACAGATGGGCTCATATGAACACTGTGTCGGTGTTAACCAACTCTATCCCTCGTATACAAGCTATGCGTTAGCGGCTAATCATAGCCCTTATGGCACCGGCTTTATGCCAATCCAGTGGCCGTATACGTGAACTCTAACGGCTTATACACTCTCTTTTAAGTTATCCAACATTTGCCTCTCTTTTTAAGAATTAATTGAATATATATTTATAAAATATTAACTAAAAAACTATTGTATTTCATATTTTGTTTCGATGTTTATCTTCTTTATATCAAATATAACATTAAATTTGTGAATAAATCTTATTATTATTCAAAAATAATTATAACAACAAAAACATTTCATATATCAATATATAAATATTACGATTCCTTAAGTATTTATTTGTCATTTTAATTAATAATTTATTGAATACAAAACCTTTGTATTAAAATATATTTTACATAAAATAAAACAAATGTATAACTTCTCAATAATTACAATATTAAGAATTTTAAAAATAATTTTACTATTGTATGAGTTAGGCGTCAAATCATTTAAAATAAACCAGAGGTTTTACATTAATAAATTAAAAATTATATTTAAAAACTTAACAAAATCAATCCAGCCGATTCTATTTGGAATTCAAATTTCTATACGCCAAAAATATTAATGGTAGGTGATATGAATACCAAGATTACACAATTAAAAAAACTCAACATTTGCCAACTGTAGTGATCGATTTGGACCACAACTTAAAGGATCACATGATTTTATAATATTAAAGCGTTGTGACCATGTTTTATAATTGATTTTATAAATGTATTTATTAGAAATTAATATTTTGGATTCCAAAGTTTGGAAGATGGTTAAATGATTGTGGTGTTGTAACTATGATTACTCATGTATTTTCTCGCTAACTGTAATACAATGATTGTAAAATTGATATCGTGTTTATTGGGTAATACTGTATAATAATTCTGAACATTGAGTGATATTATGTTTACAATATTCAAACAATTTTCAATACTTTAATAATAAATTAAAAATATATTACTCTGTATTTTACAAAACAAAAGATTATTTTATTGCAAAGAATATCTTAATTAATTTGATACAATCATAAATTTAAAATTATACCTAAAAATTCATATAGCATACAATGATTATTAATTAAACTAGGACCTCTGCCAATTAAGAGTAGGCTGGCCAACTGTCCACTATTTAAGTAGACATTTCACTATTTTGGGGTTTGTGTCCACTAGGAACTGAAGACCCAATGTACACATTAAAATGTCCACTATTTTATTTCCAAGACAATTAACATAATTTAGCTAAAATTATAAAAATATTTTTAGTAATATTGTTTATAAAAATAATTCATAATCTACTATTAATAATTACTTATAAATAAAAATAAAATATAATAAAATAAATTAAATGCAATAAAAATTAATCTATAAAATTTATAAAGTTTATTTTAAATCTGGTTAATTATATATAAATTATGATTAATATACTGTACTTTACACATGTATCATACAGTGTTCAAGAATGCGGTAGTTTTTATTTGTTATAAATATTTAATTTAAAAAGTTTACATATTTGTTAACAAATTGAAAATGTATTGAATGTAATGTTGAATATAGGATGAAATGTGTTGTATGAAAGGTAACAGAAACAGCTTTCACAATGATCTCAGATTTCAAAAACGTCTGCAAAATCACTGTGAAAACCAGTTTTGGTAACCAATCAGTCTTCAGTCGGTTGGACGACACGCGGCATCCAATTGTTCATTATTTGTACCTTTTTGTCTGTCTTATGGGAAATGTGTATTCAATGAATGAATATCTCATATCCAAGTCTGGACAATACAAAACCGACAAATGTTTTCATTCCGTGGTTTATATGTCGGCACTTAAATTGCATATACGTTACAATCAATAGTATATTCGTTAAAAATATCTTATATAACCGATCGTTTAATGCAAAACACATTGCATTTAGAATTTATTTATTTAAATAATAGTCTTCAAAACTCTACCCGATAATTGTCGGCAAACATTCCTGTGGTTTGATGTTTACATCGAAACTTCAAATTCTACTTAAAACAGAATTGAAACTAAAAATATTTTTTAGAAAATTGACGACCAGTTTGTCTGAAAGGGAATGAAAGTCAAGAGATTTGTTTGACAATTAATAACACATCAAATGATAGATGAATTGATTCTTAAAGTGACTGAGAGAGAGAGAGCGAGAGAGAGAGAGAGAGAGAGAGAGAGAGAGAGAGAGAGAGAGAGAGAGAGAGAGAGAGAGAGANAGAGAGAGAGAGAGAGAGAGAGAGAGAGAGAGATGGAATAAATGTAAGTTTTGTTGGCAAATGTAGTTTAGATGAGTTTTTCAATAGAGAGTCAGTGTTGACAAGTGGATCATATCTATGGCAGAGATTGAATTACATTCACACCAAACACTGTTTTACTGCTAAGAGATGTTATTGAATTTGAATTCAGTTTAATAGTTTGCGATGATATTGAATAATGGATTTCAAACCAATAATTGTTCACAAAATAAAAATAAGATATAACAATAAATGCATACAACTATATGCTATTGAGATGTATCGGTTGATTCACTTCTATTGCAAAACTTTAAATCTATAGTTCAGAGTAATTAATAAATTGATGACAAGAAATGAAAGCTCTAATCATTACTAATAAATCGAAAAACGATTGAAAATAAATATATCTAAAAAATTTTCTCATGCTTTTCTACACCCAAATGTGGTATACATTCACCTAAATATTATAATTTAAACAAAATAACTGTTATCTCATCTCAAGTTAATCTAAATATAAATAGTTTAACGAAAAACACACTCTTGTGATGGTCTGTAAAAAAAGATTTTTGAAAATTAAAGAAATTTTATCAAATAGTAATTAATAGTCGAATACGATATGAATACTGAAAAATATCCATCATTTTAATCACACATTAATGTCATCATTAAATGAAATAAATCTAATCTATAGTTTGGAAATAGTGTTCAAAATTCACAGCAAATGTTGATTTTGGAACTCAAACTAAACTCCAATAGTTTACTAAACAGGATATGATTTTTCTCTCATATTTGCTCTTTACTATCGGTCGATGAAAACCTATGAATGATTTGGGATTCACTGAAATCTGAGACCATTCATAACGAATGCCATACTATTAATACATTATACAGAATCTATCACTTCTTCGTTCCCCCATTTCTTCATTACTTTCACTCAAATTCTTTAAGTGATTGATTCAAACATTTTTTAATTATATTTACAAAGTTTTTTCTTTCTAATCAAAACAAAGTTCATATTATATATAAGATTTGGTTATATAATAACATTTATAATAAATCAAATAATTACATAACATTTCTTAAATCATCGCTAATTTAATATAAATATTATAATTAAATGTCTGTAAAAATTAAAAATAAGTTCCAAAAAACAAAAATTTCTTACAGTTTGCGCAAAAATGTTGTTTATTTAACAAAATCTTACCTTAATTTCAATGGAAATGCATAAGAATTCTCCAAAAAAATAATTATATTAAGTATTTATTTTTAAAAAAATTTCATTAATTTTGTATTAAAAACTTTACCTGAAATTCATTTTTTATATAAATTAAAATTAATTCCCACTAAATATTAAATTTGTTTTTTTGCTTTTAATGAGCATTTAATATAAAAACATTTGCCAAAAATCTGTCAAATGGTTTGTTTGAATAAAATGTTGAGGAAGTGATCCAAATCTAAATGTTTTCATACATTTCATTAATTTCTGTAAACTATACTCATTTGAAACAATTGCTAACATTTTGCACTT